AGTACATTTTAAAGTAATCACAGATTATTAAAACTATATTAGTGGGCCGGTGCCGCGGCTCACTAGGCTAATCCTCCGCCTAGCGGCGCCGGCACACCGGGTTCTAGTCCCGGTTGGGGCGCCGGATTCTGTCCCGGTTGCCCCTCTTCCAGGCCAGCTCTCTGCTGTGGCCAGGGAGTGCAGTGGAGGATAGCCCAGGTGCTTGGGCCCTGCACCCCATGGGAGACCAGGAAAAGCACCTGGCTCCTGGCTCCTGCCATCGGATCGGCACGCTGCGCTGGCCGCAGCGCGCCGGCCATGGCGGCCATTGGAGGGTGAACCAACGGCAAAGGAAGACCTTTCTCTCTGTCTCTCTCTCTCACTGTCCACTCTGCCTGTCAAAAAATTAAAAAAAAAAAAAAACTATATTAGTATAACATTCTTTATCATTGGTTTGGCAGAGTTTCCCGAAACTATATTTGTAGCAGTACTGATACAGATAGGCATTTCTTCCTTCCTTTCTTTTTTTAATTTTTGGCTCCCACATATAAGGCAGAGTGTGCAATATTTGTCTTTCTGCATCTGGCTTATTTCACTCAACTTGATGTCTTCCACTTGAGTTCATTTTGCTGCAAATGATAGAAATTAATTCTTTTTTTAGGTGAATAGCGTTCCATTGTGTATATATACCACATTTCCTATATCCATTCATCTGATGATGGACAGACACCTTGGTTGTTCCTTTTACTTGAATTAGTTTCTGTAACTGACAACTTATAGACCCTCACAGTGAGCACCATGCTTGTCAGCACATGGTCCTTGGGCTCCTCCCATGGCTCCATAATTGTGTTAGCACCGTGAGGACACAGTTCCCTCTGCCTGGAATGCCCTCCTCATGACCTGCCAATCAACCCCCTGCGTTTCTTTTAATGACCTGATCTCTGTGGAGCCTTCCTGATGGGCTATGGCAGGAGAAATCAATCTCATGTGCGTTTAGAAATCTGTCAGTCTGTTTTCTGTTGTTATAACTGACGCAGGCTACAGACTGGGTCCTTTATAAAGACTAGTGATCTGCTGGGCTTCTGGTTCTGAAGGCTGGGAGATTCCTGGTCAGTTGCCACGATGTGAGGCTCTTCTGGCTGCAGGGACTCTGTGCAAAACACACATGAATAGACACAGTCTTCTAGCACCGTCTCTCCTCCTCTCCATAGAAAGCCACAGCCGCATTGGATCAGGGTCCAGCCCTTATAGGCTCGCTTAAGCTTAATAACTTCCCGTAGGGTCCACTTCCAAATTCCATAGTTTGCATTCCCCCCTCTTAATACCTCACGGTGGGTACTAAGTTTCAGCACAGGTTTTGTTGGGGACATTGAAACCAGCAAGACCTTTATACGCACTTGTACTGTACTGATTTCAGCAGTGTGCCATGGTTAATATTTATGTGTCTAAGTCCTCTGTTGACTTTGAGTGACAAGGCAAGTGATGTATGAGTCATTTGTATAGTACTGTGAACAGACTATTTGGCGCTTAGTAGGCCTGCAGTGACTGTGGCGCGATTGATGTGCCTGTGATTTCATAGCATGGATGAATGGGAAGCCTTCTGGTCTGTTCTGCTAGAGGACTGTGCCAGCTGTAGCAAGGTACTGCACAGACCACCTTTCAAGAAAAGAGTCCCACGAGGAGCATTGTGGGCCAGCAGGCTCCAGGTGCAGTGTTCAGAGGACTGTGGGGGTGCATACTCTGCTCCAGCTGCTCCAGCCGATAACTGAGTGTGGGGCTATCTGTGTGGTGGGAAATGCGGCTGAAGCATTGCTGCCTAGCATGGGGCTGGCCAACACTGCTCCGAGTTGCACTGCAGTGTGGGGAGCAACTCGGACTAGACTAAGTTACTGGAATTAAGACTTATTCTATGCATCTGCTCTCCCACAATATGGTGCTGGGAGAGGAGTAAATAACTTCTACACAGCTGCCTCTCGCCAACTTGACTGATAATCTGCAGGAGCTGATCCTGCTCCTGATTGGAGGAGAGCAGCGTGCTCGGCATGTGGGTAGCAGAGTTGGGATTGGTGGAAGAGGACTATAAAGGAGGAGAGAGACAACATGCACCAGGAACATCCGGATAACATCTGAGCAGCCCCCGAGAGAGCCGGCCGGTGGTGTGCCGCTCCCCCGTGGAAGTGGGGAAAGTGGCAGGGGGAACCGCCCCCAAAAGAACAGCGCAGGGTCCTGTGTCATTCCTCCGCGAATGGGGGAGCGACACTGCAGTCTTCTCTTCTCCCATCCAACCCTCCTGGTCCTCCACCCAATCCTCCTCCTTTCCCTCTCTACTTTCACGAACCCATCTTCTGATGTGAAGTCCACCCGTGTTTATTCTTGCTCTCTCTCTCTCCCTTTCCTTTCATGGGTGGTGTTGCTAATAAATCTCTTGCAGATCTAAAACTGTCTTGGTATTTGTCTCTTTGTGAACCCAAACTGGCACAGCTGTTACTGCAAGTGGTCCAAGAAGGCAGGTGGTAAGATGGGGATTTGAGATTGAATCTGATCACTGTTGGTCTGTGCGGTGTGGTTCGTGGACAGTTCTTAGCATCAGATGGCAGCCCGGCTGGTAAAGCAGTCACTTCTTGTGACTGGAAAATGTTCCAGTGGAAGGGAATTCTCTTCCTGGAGTTGTAACTAAGGCTTTGGAAAGGTGTAGGGGAATCTTACAGGGCACTTGAACTAGTTGGTTACTCCAAGCTGCCTTGGTTTGACACAACAAGAATTCAAGAGCAGTTCACTGTATTAGTCTTATTCTCCTAATGGCAACGCTATATCTGAGGCAGGCTACTTAAGAAGAAATTTCTGGAGGTTCAAAGGCATAATGCTGGCATTAGCTTGGACCTGGTAAGGGCCTCATGGCAGATGACATCACAGTGGTGGGAACACATGTGGCGGGAAGAGATCACATCACCACATGGCAAAGCCAGAGAGTACTTTAGGGGTCAGGCTTAAGCCTTTGTAACAATTTACTCTCAAGAACTGGGGGCCCCATTGGGACTGCTTTAATCCCCTTTGACAGCAGCATGAGTGAGTTAAGAGTTCCCATCTATGCCTCACCTCTGCAAAGTCCCAGCACCTCTCACATTGCCACAGGGAGGGCCAAGCTGCTAGCTCATAAAACTTTAGGAGAGACACTCAAACTGTCCCTAAGCCATAGCATTCACAAACAGCTACAAGTTGAGCGTGTGGCCACAAAGCTGCTTTAGTAGCTCCATAAAGAAGTCCTTATCCCCTTCAGTGGATGATGAGATACGGATGAGGAGCAAACGCAGGCTCCCACAGTGAAGGTCACCAAGCTTAGCGTGTCGGACGCTCACTCAGAGGTGTCATGTCAAGGCCAGGGCCTTGGCTGGGAAAAGTTCAGACCCTGAAATGTGGACGGAGACAGCTGGGTGGGTGTCATGGGAACTGTAACTCTGAAAAAGCCCCAGGACCCTTGGAGTCTGCAGAGAGTACATTTCCTTCCCTAATAAGAGCTAGAATTTCTCCTGCCTAAGGATGCACCATAGAGGTTTTCTCCTCACAAGGCAACAGGTGCCTCTATCTGGAACTGCCAGTGTCTTCTTTCCGAGTGGCCAAGCCAAATATTAGGGTTAAATGCCTGCCTAAACCCCATGGGGAAATGCTGAGCCCCATGAGGAAGGAAAGGACTATATCCCAGAGGGGCTATCAGAATTAGCCAGCCTGTCCTGCAAGAAGGTAGAAGAGTATCATGGAGACGAATAGTGAAGTGCCAGGGATGGGGAAGCCTTCACTGACTTGGGGCACAATCTCAGGATGTAGTTGTATATTCTGGAAAAGATTTTAGGGTTTGGGACAGACTTGCTGTTAGGGTGGCTCTTAGAAAACTGTAGGAAACAATAGGCCACCATGAACAAAGCAGAAAGACCTGAATCGCATGTGGGTGATTAGAAGGCTCAGGCTCCAAGAAGTGAGGGTGCTGGAATGGAGGCCGTGTCACAGGCCAGAGGACCCACCAGGAGATTGTGTTCCAGGGGAAGACAAGGGGACCCTCCCTTCATGAAGACCACCAGGAAAGTGCTGAGTGTGGGGCCCAGCGTCACTGACAGTTTCGGTGGTAACTGTCCTCTGCGAGGCAGGGTTGACAACAGGAACAACTGTTGCAGAGTGTGACACATGAATGTAAAGGAAATGAGGGGGCCCCCAAGTAATGGAGGTCAAGTGGAAGTTCCTAAACCTGAGAAGCCTGAGAGCCTTGATTCTATAATGACTGGTAGGGTTCAAGGGTAGCCAATGGGGATGGACTTAGGAGGAGTTAAGGAGATGGTTAATTATGCCTGGAACATGATTGTGAGGGGGAGAGACGGATGGGCAGTCTAGGAGGGTGTTTGTGAACATATGTGATCACAACAGGACAAGAATGGAAAGGCCAAAGGCTTGAGGACAGTTACACCAAAGAAATGTCAGGACCCTCTTGGCAAGTTTCTGGGCCTGAGACGATTTTTAGACCAGAATCTATTGAGGGCAGAGTTGGCTAGGTTTACTAGAATAAGGATCAACTTACCAACCATAAGGTGCAATGATTCCTCCAGGAATCTTGTCCAAAGGGAATGCTGGCCATTTACATGGATGACTGTGTATTAGAGGACCAAATGGACTGCCCTACAGTTTGATGACTGTCGGACTCAGAGTCTGAGTTGACCTCGATGCCCAGAGAGCCATAGTGTCATTCTGTCCCCCGTATAGGAGTGGGAGCAAACCTCTGTTCACAGAGTGAACATAGGATTAAATCTGGCTTCAGTGGGCCCATTTCTGAGTATCTGAGTGCATAACCAGTCTGAAGTACTTGGTACACTGGATCCTATAGGCCTAATAGGGTAAGAACTACTTGAATGCCAGGTGAAGCTCACTGAAAGTGGCCCCCTCCCCTGCCAAGAACAATATCACACTCCAGAAGACAATGACAGAGATTACAGCTACCTTTGTTTTTTTAAAGATTCATTTTATTTTTTTTTTGAAAGAGTTGCAAAGAGAGGTAAAACCAGAGAGAGAGTCTTCCATCTGCCGGTTCACTCCCCAAATAACTGCAATGGCCAGAGCTGAGCTGATCCGAAGCCAGGAGCCAGGAGCTTCGTCCAGGTCTTCCCATGAGGATGCAGGGGCCCAAGGTCTTGGGCCATCTTCTACTGCTTTCCCAGGCCACAGTAGAGAGCTGGATTGGAAGTGGAGCAGCCAAGACTTGAACCAGCGTCCATATGGGATGCCGGCGCTGTAGGCGGGGCTTTAACCTGTTGCACCACAGCACCAGCCCCAGGGCTGTCCTTAAAGATCAAAAGGGTGAGGACTGCTGTTTCATTCCTAGGTCCGTTTAACTTGCCTGTGGACTCTGAAAAAAACAGATAAATCTCTGAAAAACAACAAAGTCATACCCCTGTTTCCATCTGTCTTTCTGGATGTGGTATTATAGCTACTCATTTCGCAAATGCATCCTTTACTAATCAGGAGAGAGGATCGGGAATTGTTAAGGGATGGGGTGGGTGCTGTGATGCAGCAGGCTAAGCCCCTGCTTGGGGTGCTTGCATCTCATATCAGAGTACCTGCACTGGAGTCCCACCTCTGCTGAGGTCCAGCTTCCCGACAATGTGCTTGGGAGGCGGCAGATGATGGTCCATGTACGAGGGTCCATGCCACCCATGGGGGAGACCCGGATGGAATTTTTGGCTCCTGGCTTTGACCGTGGGCATTTGGGGAAATGAACCAGCATATGGATGACATCTCTCTCTCTCTCTCTCTCTCTCTCTCTCTCTCTCTCTCCCTCTCCCTCTCCCTCTTACCTTCTCTCCCTCTCCTCCTTCCCCCTTCACCCATCTGCCCCTCCCCCTCTTCCCCCTCTCCCCACTCGCTCTCTGTGCCTTTCAAAGAAATAATAAATAAACTAAAAAAAGTAATTGATCAGGGATGATATTTATGTAGAACAAGCAAACATACTCCTTTTCAATTTTATCACAGCACTATATTAACTCTCCCACACTTGCTAATAATGTAATTTGAAGAGATCTGGGCCATCTGGACGCATCACAGAATATCATATGGATCCAACACATCTGTGATATCATGCTGATCAGACAAAGTAAACAAAAGCAATTACCATGCTGGAAACCTTGGTGAGACAATGCACTTCTAAAGTAGAAGCTAGCACTTTGCATAAGTCTTTAGGTGTGGGACTGGTGTGGTGGTGTAGCAGGTAAAGCTGCCACCTGTGACAAGGGCATTCTATAAGGGCACCAGTTCATGTCCCTGCTACTCCACCTCCAATCTAGCTCACTACCTGGGAAGAGCAATAGAAGAAGGCCCAAGTGCTTGGGCCCCTGCTCTACCCACATGAAAGACCAGATGAAGCTCATGGCTCCTGGTTTAGGCCTGGGCCAGTGGTGGCTGTTGCAGCCATCTGGGGAGTGAACCAGTGGATGGAAGATCTCTCTCTCCCTGTCTCTCCCCCTCTCTTTCTGTAACTCTGACTTTCAAAATGAATAAATAAATCTAAAAAATAAAAATCTTTGCACCACAGCTACAAATGGGGAAGCATGATGCCCATGGCTCTCTGGTTTCTGGAAGGAACACATTCCCTACCCAGGAGTATTTCTTTAAGCCGTATCTCAGGTGGTCAGGAAGGGTGCCCACTTTAAGCAGAGGCTGCACCAGGAAGGGGCTGTGCAGTAGGTCCACGTTGCAGTGTAAGCCGAGTAAAGATCGTTGCCTCCTGGACTCTAATCTGGCAGATCTTATGGTGTTGGAGGTGTCAGTGATAGGAAGAATGAAGTATGCATTTACAGCAAGCCGCCTAGGGAGAGAATCACAGCACAGGTTCCCGAAATTCTAGATCAAGACCATGCCATCTACAAAACAGCGTTATACACCTTTTAAGAAAATGTCCCAGCATGGGCCCTGGTAGCTGGACCTTGGGTCCTGAAATGACCATGCATCTACAATTGTCCATCACAAGCTGAGTTCAGTAGACCTCTGTGGTCATTAAGTTAGCCCCCCAGCAGTGATCGTTATGAGAAGGAAGTAGTAGAGGAAAACCGAGTCAGGAGGCCCAAAGACAAGCATAGACAGATAACCTAGACCCTTGGGACACCCAGCACAGTTGCACCCTCATACCCCCTCAGTGCTGCTTTGCCTGCCTCGCATTCACTGGGGAGGATTGGGCTACCTGGGCCTTGTCCTTACAGTGATGACAGAAGTGTAGGATGCTGAGTTCTGCCACTCTGGTATTACCCCAATAGGGGAAGGAAAGTGTAGTGGTTCTCCACTGAACAGTAATCCACACTGAAGTATTTAGGTCTGTCCCATAACCAAAATATACTCACTCCTCTCCAGATCCCCCAAGACCCAGAGAATTAGAAACAGGCTCAAAACCCAGGATCCCACAACTTATATCAGGTTTGGTATGTGCTCCTTGATCCAGAGGCCTATGCATTAACAAGTTAATTGCTCACCAGATACAAAACATGAAGTGATCCAACAAGAATCCTGTAACCACTACAGAGGAATAAGGGGACAGAGGAGCCGGTGATCCCAAGCCTTCTGAAATGTTATTGGATTCACCTTCTTTGAAGATAAGAAATATCCTTGGATGAGGACCCCTTTCTGCTTCCTGGGCATGGTGTCCTGGGCCAGGGTTGTCCATAGTTCTTGGCTCCACCACTTGCGGGGAAGGGGTCCTTCTCTGTTTAGCAGGTGCTTATACCCTTTACCCCTTCTGGAATGTTACGCTATGTTTTTGACTATGCTCCCCGGGAGAGAACAATCCAACATAGGAAGCGGGATACACAGCAGACTCATAGAATGGCAGATGTCCTAAATAGCACTCTGGCCTCAGAATCAGCCCTTAAGGCATTCTGATGTGGCTGAAGAGCCCATGGGAGTATTTTAGGCATGGAAAGCCAAGACACTCTGGCAAAAAAACAAACAAACAAACAAACAAAAAAACAAAAACCTAAATGAAAGATCTCTGCGAGTGAGATCCCAGTGGAAAGAACGGGGCCATCAAAGAAGGAGGTACCTTTCTCTGAAGGGAGGAGAGAACTTCCACTTTGACTATGACCCTGTCGGAATTAGATTGCAGTCGGCGAGCTCAAAAGGTTTCCATAGCCTTGGCAACTCATGACTGAGCCTAGGGAGATTACTGATGCCATAAACAAGAGTGTCAAATTGTTAAGTCAACAACAGGAGTCACTGTGTACTTACTTCTCATGTGGGATCTGTCCTTAATGTGTTGTCCAATGTGAAGTAATGCTATAACTAGCAATGAAACAGTATTTTACACTTTGTGTTTCTCTGTGGGTGCAAACTGATGAAATCTTTACTTAATATATACTAAATCGATCTTCTGTATATAAAGATAATTGAAAATGAATCTTGATGTGAGTGGAATGGGAGAAGGAGCAGGAGATGGGAGGGGTGCGACTGGGAGGGAAATTATGGCGGGGGGAGCCATTGTAATCCATAAACTGTACTTTGGAAATTTATATTTACTAAATAAAAGTTAAAAAAAATAAATAAAGATATGGGGGCGGGAGGCCAGTGCTGTGGCACAGCGGGTTAAATCCCCGACCTACAGCACTGGTTCAAGTCCTTTCTGCTCCACTTCTGATCCAGCTAGATGTTAACACACCTGGGAAAGCAGCAGAGGATGGCCCAAGTGCTTGGGCCCCTGCACCAACATGGGAGACCTGGAAGATCCTGGCTCCTGGCTTCAGCATGGCCCAGCCCCGGTTGTTTCAGTCATTTGGGGAATGAACCAGCAGATGGAAGACCTCTCTCTCTCCTTGTCTCTACCTCTCTCTAACTCTGCCTTTCAAATAAATAAAATAAAATCTTATTCAAAAAAAAAAAAAAAAGAAATTTAGAGAGGCAGAGATCTTACCTCTGGCAATCTCAGACTCTCTGAGTCCAGGCTAGTCACACATTTACTGTACAACTCTCAGAAACCTCGTAGTCTTGCTGTGTATTCGATTTTAACTAGCATTTGTACTGAAAGTCCTAAGAGCAATCGTTTTTGAGTCATGACTTGCACCCCAGCCCATACTCCATCCTAACATAGCGATTGGCCCTTCCGCAGGGCTGCAGAACCAGGTTTTCCAGCCTCCCTGGTGTCCAGAAAGAAACATCCTGTGCGGGGTCTCAGTGGATGGTGTTAGCGTCAAGTTGAAATGAGGCTGTGCCCTCTGGCAGCACCGTGGATTGGGTCTTTTCCCTGAAATAGCTTCGTAATGGGCACATTTTGATCTGGTAAGAAAGAATTTTATTTCCCAGCACTTCAAGTTCTGGAATTTTTAGGCTCTCTATATTTCCTCTTAATTTTGTTTGTATCCAAGCCAATTCTCTTCTGAACTCGTTCCTCTCTTACAGCGTCTTATTACACACAGTCAGCAGAAGCCAGCTCATATTTCCACATTTTCGCCTCAAAATTTCTCACTCGACTCAACCAGTTCATTAGGTACATTTTGTCTTCCAGGTTATCACAGGAAGCATTTACCAAATGTTTCACCATCACATAGCACAAGTCACCATTTTTCAGCTTCATTTAACAGTTTCCTTGAGCCAGGCCCGTATATTTTAGAATTTTGCTAACATAAGCACCCACTTCTTGGTACACATTTCTGTATCACTCAGCTATCACTGCAAAATAAACCACCCCTAAATCCAGTGGCATCTAATAATAAACATTTATTACCTTACTAACAAATCTGCAAAGCCATCTGGCAGCTCTGCCTCAGGCTGTGTACCTGCTGGTAGGCTGCGATGGCTCTGCCGTAGGCTCTGGGTCTGTGGGTTAGCCAAGGCGCCTCTGTTCGTCTGCCTACTCTTTTTTTTAAGATTTTATTTATTTATTTGAGAGGTAGAGTTATAGAGAGTGAGAGGCAGAGACAGAGAGAGAGGTCTTCCATCTCTTGGTTCACTCCCCAAAAGAGACAGAGAGAGAGGTCTTCCATCTCTTGGTTCACTCCCCAAAAGAGACAGAGAGAGAGGTCTTCCATCTCTTGGTTCACTCCCCAAAAGGCCACAACAGCTGGAGCTGGGCTGATCTGAAGCCAGGAGCCATAGCCTCCTCCAGGTCTCCCATGTGGATGCAGGGGTCCAAGCACTTGAGCCATCTTCTGCTGCTTCCCCAGGCCACAGCAGAGAGCCGAATCAGAAGAGTAGCAGCCGGGACTAGAACCGGTGTCCACATAGGTTGTCGGCTTCGCAGGAAGATTAACCTCCCATGTTGCAGTGCCGGCCCCTTCAGCCTACTTTTATGTTGGAACCAGTGAACTTCTCAAGTCGTGTTCTTCCCATGGCCATGGCAAATGCCCAAACAACGAGGCCCATTACATAGACACATTTCAAGCCTTTGCTTGTGTTATGTTTGATAAGATTCCTTTGAGCAAATCAAGTCCCACGGCTGAGCCCAAACAACATGGGATGGGAAAATATGTCTTAGCAATGGAAAGGAGTGGAGTGAATATTTTCTGAACGGTAATTGAATTCTCATCAGTGTGCTCATTGGGGGAAATTTCAGGAGACATCTAAATAGGATATTTGGAGGTATTTATGATTTTGACTTTCAACATAGGGTGTATATAAGCTGGAGATAAAAATTTAATGTACAGATGGCATATAAAGTAGTAACACGGGATTGCATTGTTGTGAGAGTTTGTGAAGCAGAAAAGAGGTCCCATCTCGAGCACTGGAGTGATCTGGCTTTCAGAGATGATAAAAGTAGAGGAACAAGGAAAGAGGGGGATCAGTTGAGTAAAGGCAAAATCAGGTGACTGTGGGACCTAGGAAAGAATTCATTTAAAAAAGTATTTAGGGGTCTGGCACTGTGGCATAATGGGTGAAGTTGCCGCCTGAGGTGCTGGCATCCCGTTGTGGGTGCCGATTCAAGTTCTGGCTGCTCCACTTCTGATCCAGCTCTCTGCTATGGATGTAGCAGATGAGGATATAGATGGCCCAAGTGCTTGGGCCCCTGCACCTGTGTGGGAGACCCAGAAGAAACTCCTGGTTCCGGCTTTGGATTGGCCCAGCTCCAGCCATTGTGGCCATTTGGGGAGTGAACCAGCAGATGGAAAACCTCTCTCTCTCTGCCTCTGCATCTCTGTGACTCTGCCTTTCAAATAAATAAATAAAGCTTTAACAAAAGTATTTAGGGGAAAATGTTAAACCTTTAATGATTACAATAGAAAAGAAAAATATGACTGGAAATTAATAAATTGAGCATGTTACTTAAGAAACCAGGAAAAAAAATGGCAACAGAACAAACTGAAAGAAAAGAGTAAGGGAAAAATGATAGTGGTAAAAACATTCACCAGTGTAGCAAGTAACAAGGATACAGCCACAAAAACCAACAGCACCAAATATTTGTTCTTTGAAATGCCTGATAAAACTGTGGTGAGAATAACAAAGCCAAAGAGAGAGACACTAATAACTAATGTGAGTCACACAAAAGAAAACAGAACTATGAGTGTTGCAGAGATGAGGGATAATGAGAGAATATTTCATCAACTTTATGCCAATGAAGCGGAAAACAAGTGAAGCTGTCAAAGAAGTCCCAGATATGTTGCAATCAAGAAGAAATAGAAAACTAACTAGCCCTGCAAAATTAAAAATATTTAACTGTTAAAACTTACCCATAAAAATGTCACCAAGCCTCTCAAGTTTTCTTTTTTCTTTTCTGCCAAATTACATCATTCAAAGAACTATTTCTGTGTTAAACAATTGCATAATATTTCTATAGTACAAAAAGAGAACACTCTTTAACCAACTTATGGGTTTAGTAAAGTATTAATCCCA